TGCCTGTAATCCAAGCACTTTGGAGGCCAAGGCAGGCGGATCACCTGAGGTTGGGGGGTTCAAGACCAGCCTGAGCAACATGGTGAAACCCCGTCTTTAAAAAATAAAATAAATAAATAAATAAATAAATAAATAGAACTATGAAATGCTACATGCAGGAAAAGGAGGGTCCTCAGTCCCTGCTCCCCTGCTGTGTGGGGGGCACTAGGCCATGCCCTTTCCTGTGTCATTCTCATGCGTCCTCAGAATGGAAATAAGTATTAGCAGTTGCCATTTACGTGCCAGCCACTTTTTAAAGTGCTCGAATCCTTATAACTCACTAAGAAGTGAGTATCATATCTCTGTTTTATGAATGAGAAAACAGGACTGGAAATATTAAATAATAAGACTGACGCCTGGCAGTCTGTGTGGTGTTGGTGAGGAGGCTAGAACGTGGGGCTAGCCGAGGAGGGGCACTGGGAGAGAGTCCGGGAGGATGGTGGGAAGGAAAGGCATTCCAGGTAGTGGGAGCTGCATGAGCATGGTTAGGACCCCAGGAAAGACCCCTGCTGTATCAGAGCACAGCAGGTGGGTGGCACCCTAAGGGAGGCCTTGAACCCCAGGATGACAGATACGGGGCAGGTGTGTCAGGCAGTAAGAACATATTGGAAGGGAGCCACAGTGGCTCAGGCCAGTTGTCCTGGCACTTGAAGAGGGGAGGCTACGCGTTCAAGGCCAACCTGGGCAACCTAAGAACCTTTCATTCATTAAATAAAATAAAATAAAATAAAAAACATATTGGCGGTTGTGATCTTGAGATTGACAAGATGATGCTATGTGTGGGTGGGCTTCCCTACAGAAAGGCCTTAGGGAAGTGGAAATGAGGGTCTTTCTTGAACTGGGGTGAAACGGTGAGATTGGAGAAGAGAATGAGGCCCATTCTGAAGTGAGGGAGGAGGAGGCCTCCAGCCTTTGGAGCCGAGAGGCCTAGACAGCAATTAGCCCGACTGCTATCCTACGTTGGCAAACAATAATAGACCCCAAGGCCCACAGAAGGGGTTTCTTGACATCACTCAGGGAGATAATATAACTGCCCATTGGGTTCACCTTATCCTCTGCCTAGATAGAGGCAATTTCTCAAGACAAGGGAATCGCAATAAGGAGAGTTTAATTCATGCAGAGCTGGCTGTAAGGAGAGACAGAAGTTTTATTATTACTCAAATCGGTCTCCCTGAGAATTCCAGGATCGGGGTTGTTAAGGATAATTTGGTGGGTAGGGGGCCAGTGAGTTGGGAGTGCTGATTGGTTGGGTCTTGGGCGAAATCACAGGGAGTTGAAGCTGTTCTCCTGTGCTGACTCCTGGGGGCCACAAGACCAGATGAGCCAGTTTATGGATCTGAGTGGTGCCAGCTGATCCATCCAGTGCAGGGTCTGCAAAATATCTCAAGAACTGATCTTAGGTTTTACAATAGTGATGTTATCCCTAGGAGCAATTAGGAGAGGTTCAGAATCTTGCGGTCTCCGGTGCATGACTCCTAAACCATAATTTCTAATCTTGTGGCTAATGTTATTCCTACAAAGGCAGTCTAGTCCCCAGGCAGGAACAGAATTGGTTTTGGGAAAGGGCTGTTATCATCTTTGTTTCTAAGCAAACCATAAACTGAGTTCCTCCCAAAGTTAGTTCAGTCTATGGCCGGGAGCGAACAAGGACAGCTTGGAGGTTAGAAGCAAGATGGAGTCAGTTAGGTCAGCTCTCTTTCACTGTAATAATTGTATCAGTTATAGTTTTTTGTTTGTTTGTTTTTTCCTGAGAGATTCTCACTCTGTTGCCCAGGCTGGAGTGCAGTGGTGTGATCTTGACTCACTGCCACCTCCGCCTCCTGAGTTCAAGTGATTCTTCTGCCTCAGCCTCCCAAGTAGCTGGGACTACAGGCACCCACCACCATGCCTGGTTAATTTTTGTATTTTTGGTAGAGACAGGGTTTCACTGTGTTGGTCAGGCTCATCTCGAACTCCTGACCTCAGGTAATCTGCCCGCCTCAGCCTCCCAAAGTGCTGGGATTACAGGCGTGAGCCACCTCGCCCAGCTGTATCAGTTATAGTTTTTGCAAAGGCGGTTTCAGGAACAGGAAGCAGAACCAGGACTGCAGCCCAAGCCACCATGAAAGGTCAGTCTTTGGGGATGGTCTTTTAGGATGATCTTTGCGGGGTGGCCCAAGGATTCCCAGGCAGCTCTAGAGGCAGGAGCGGGGAGATGAGGTCCTGTCTCCAGAACTGGTCCGCCCAAGACAAGGCAGCAGGGGTGGCTGGGTCCTGCCTTGGCCGCAGTGAGAGGAGAAGGGTGAGCAGGACTGGGCCTGGGCCATCTCCCACGGGAGACTAGGCGCTGCAGGGAGATCTGGAGGGGAGCGCGCAGGTGTCACTGGGCCTTTCTGTTCTCCAGGGCCCTTTGGCAGTCCCAGGGCTGCTGCTGATGCTGCTTGCTGACATTTCCTTTCATTCAATCACTCGTGATTTACTGAGAGCCCACCCTGTACCACCCACTGTGAACAAAACACCCAGAGATCCCTGTCCAGACAGACAAGCTCCTCCCATCACGTGCTGGGGTGGTAAGTGTGATGGATAAAGAGAGGAAGAGCCAGCGGTGCCTCTGGCTGGAAAGGCCAAGCCGACCTCACCAAGGTTGTGACATTTGTTTTTTTTTTTTTTTTTTTTGAGACGGAGTTTCGCTCTTGTTACCCAGGCTGGAGTGCAATGGCGCGATCTCGGCTCACCGCAACCTCCGCCTCCTGGGCTCAGGCAATTCTCCTGCCTCAGCCTCCTAAGTAGCTGGGATTACAGGCACGAGCCACCACGCCCAGCTAGTTTTTTGTATTTTTTAGTAGAGACGGGGTTTCACCATGTTGACCAGGATGGTCTCGATCTCTTGACCTCGTGATCCACCCGCCTCGGCCTCCCAAAGTGCTGGGATTACAGGCTTGAGCCACCGCGCCCGGCCGGTTGTGACATTTGAACACCAGCTGAAGGGGTGTGAGGGCAAGAGCAGGAAGAGGGAGGAGCCAGTCCACAGGCCTGGAGGCAGAAGGCTGATTGAAGAAGAGTCCGGAGGCTCGGGTGGCTGCAGCAGAGAGAGAAGAGGGTGAGTGGCAGGACGGGAGGTCAGAGGAGAAGGGGCGGCACCCGTGGCTCACAGAGCCTCAGAAGGATTTTGGTTTTTTTTTTTTTTTTTTGAGATGGAGTTTCGCTCTTGTTAACCCAGGCTGGAGTGCAATGGCACGATCTCGGCTCACCGCAACCTCCGCCTCCTGGGTTCAGGCAATTCTCCTGCCTCAGCCTCCTGAGTAGCTGGGATTACAGGCACACGCCACGATGCCCAGCTAATTTTTTGTATTTTTAGTAGAGACGGGGTTTCACCATGTTGACCAGGCTGGTCTCGATCTCTTGACCTCGTGATCCACCCGCCTCGGCCTCTGAGCAGAACGGGGCCATTGCAGAGCAACACACACTTTAAATAAGCAAAACCCCCATCTTTCCCCTGGGAAGGAAGAGGCCGATGGAAGCTGTGTTTCTGACTCACACAGGGGAGTCGTAAACAACCCTGGAGAGAACAGCTGGGCCTGGTGAGTCACTCACTCCTGGGAGTGGCTCCTCCCCACCCTGCCACGCAGCCTGCAGGCTGCGCCTACCCCCTGGTGGCCACGATCCCTCCCTCCGCACCCAGCCTCTCTCTGTGGGGTGGGGGCTGCCATGCACCCCAGTGGAGATGGATAGGAGTGGGGCTGGGCTGGCTGGGCAGGCAGGGGTTTTGCTTCTTGCTAAGGCAGCCCTGGAGGGGCCTTACCATGGGGCAGGGACCCAGTTGCCATCCCCAGAGCCAGGATCATTGGCTGGGGTGGGGGATCAGGGCCCCCTTGGTCCCAGCACACCTGGCCTGTGAGACTGTACTCTGCATGACTCCTCCAGGTGGCCATGGTCACCAGAGCTGGCTCGCTCCCCTCTGCCAGTTGCCTGAGGTCCGGGCACCAGGCCACTTTTCACTCTCCCCACAGGGTTAAACATTAGTGGGAGGTTATCAGCATGGGCCAGGGAGGGAGAGGGGGGAATTCAACTCTGTCTCCTCTGCTGGAGCAGCCAGTTCCTGCAAGCCCAGACAATGCCTGTGGAGGAGTTTGTGGCTGGCTGGATCTCTGGTGAGACATTTTTCTTCCTTCTGTCACACTGCACCCAATGGTAGGTCACTTCCTGGGGAAGAGGGGTGACATAGGAGAAGCTGAAACCAAATTTCTGAGTTCCAGCCTGGAGGGAGGATCACTTGAGCCCAGGAGTTTGAGACCAGTCTGGGCAACATAGGGAGGCTCCGTCTGTACAAAAAATAAATAAATTAGCTGGGTGTGGTGACACACACCTGAGTAGTTCCAGCTACTCAGGAGAATTGCTTGAGCTCAGGAGTTCAAGGCTGCAGTGAGCTATGACCATACCACTGCACTCCAGCCTGGGTGAGACCCTGACACACAGACACACAGACACACACACACACACACACACACACACACATGCAAAGGGGGTAGGCCATGGTGATTCACACCTGTAATCCCAGCACTTTGGGAGGCTGAGGTAGGAGGATCACTTGGGGCCAGGAGTTTGAGATCAGCCTAGGCAACATATGGAGACCCTGTCTCTATAAGAAATAAGAAAAAAATTAGCCAGGCTTGGTGGCACATGCCTGTGGTCCCAACTACTCCAGAAGCTGAGATAGGAGGATCACTGGGCCCTCGAGGTTGAAGCTGCAATAAGCCATGATCACACCACTGCACTCCAGCCTGGGTGACAGAGCAAGACCCTGTCTCAAAAAAAAAAATGTCTGGGTTCCCCGGAGCACCCCAGAGCTGGCTGTCCCCAGTCCTCTGGGGAGTGGCTGATGGGGAGAAGAGAGGAAGGCGCAGGTGGGAGGCTGCCTGCCTCTGCCTGCCTTGGCTGCACTGCCTGACACCTGCAGAGGGCCGGAGAGCCAGGTGAGTGCCCCATGCCTCTCGCCCGTCTCTCCAGGCCCACCCTGTGGGGCTCACAAAGGAAGTTCACCTTTGACTTCACCTGCTGTCCTGGGTTCCCTCTGGGCCTCTGCCCCACCTGGCTGTGGGCCGCAGTCCCGGGCCCCGAGGCCTGTCGTGGATGGTCCCAGCCCAGCTTCTGGATGGCATTCCTCTTAGGAGAAAGAGAGGGGTGTTCTGAACCTGTCTCCTGGGGGCACGACCCCCACCCATGCTCCAGAACCAGCCTCTGCTGTGGAGGGCAGGAGTGGGAGTGGGCAGGTGGAGGGACAGGGGAAGCTCCCTGGCAGGTGCTCAGCCATGACTCCCATCACGGCCCTGCAGCTCTTTGCAGCTGGCTGGCAGCAGGGCCTCCTCTGGATCCTGACGACAACATTATGAGTTGAAGAAAGAAAGGAGTACAGCTCTCAGGGAGGCAGGACCCTGGGCCATTCACCCGGAGTCCCCCGGTCCACATGCGGTGCGATACCCGGGTACGGGCTCCAGCGAGGACATGTGTGTCTTTGGCTGGCTCTTCCCTTCTGGGTATGCATCCTCAGGTGGGTCCTGGAGTCTCACTCCCTTGTCCCAGTGCCTTCCTGGCCCAGTGCCTGGTGTGGAGGGGGTGTTGGGAGCAGCTGGAGTTTCTGGAGCTTGGCAGGAAGGTGGCACACGTGCCTGAGATGACCCTGCTCTCCTGCCTCCTGCCTGAGCCCCACTTTCCTCTTGGCACAGACTTGCTTCCTGGGCCTGGCACGAGGGCCCTCACTCATAGCACTTTCTTGTCACCACAGGAGCTGTGGGCTTGGTCCTGGGACACCCCTTTGACACTGTAAAGGTGAGTTTAGGAGAAGCCCCAGAAGAATGAAAGAGTTCACCTGACCCAAACTTCAGGGTGCCCAGAGGTTGGGCCTGGCTAATCTTGCCCTTCCCGGCTCTCCTGCTGGCTGGCATCCTGCTTGAGAGGGCAGAGGGAAAAGCTGGCCCTCCTGCCATCCCGCCACCCCATCTGCCCTGTCCTCCCTGTCCAGGTGCGGCTGCAGACCCAGACCACATACCGGGGCATCGCCGACTGCATGGTCAGGATTTACCGCCACGAGTCTGTGAGTGGCCCACTCCTTTGGGGTCCTTCCCTTTAGGGGAGGCAACTGGGGCCGTTGGTACCAGCTGCCCTCTCCTCTCCAGCAGGGTTCTGCCCCAGGAGGAGAGAAGACCAAGTCTGGGACCCTTGGGGGCCTAGGTGGTAGCTTGGCACCTCAACAGTGCAGCCTCAGCCTCAGACTGTCCCCACCTTTTCCCACCTCCCTGTGGCAGGACTTGGGAGCAGTTTCCAGCCGAAGGCGGCCGTGCCAGGGCTGGAGACGACAAAGGGGGAGGCCCCACGGTGCCTACTCCAGTGCCAATGTGTCTCTCTGCAGCTCCTGGGCTTCTTCAAGGGAATGAGCTTCCCCGTTGCCAGCATAGCCGTGGTCAACTCTGTCCTGTTTGGGGTTTATAGCAACGCCCTGCTGCTGCTCACGGCCACCTCCCACCAGGAGCGGCGGGCCCAGCCGCCCAGCTATATGCACATCTTCCTAGCGGGCTGCACCGGGGGGTTCCTGCAGGTGAGAGGGCAGCATGTGGGCACACAGGAGTCACAGGGATGGTCACCCACCCCGCTCTGGCAACCCACAGCTATGGAGGCACAGGCCTCCTGGAAGGGAAGATGAGGACTGGGCTGTAGCTTTCCAGGCTGCAGGCCTTGGCAGGAGGGCTGTGGGGAACGGAGGGGGCAAAAGGCAGAGAGAGCTGGGGAGCAGTGCCAAGAGGGTGCCTGGAGAAGCAGCCTATACCGTCACTTCAGTTGACAGGGCTTACTACCCTCCAGAGGGGTCTGCCAGCCACAGAGCTGTGGGAAGCCCACTCCCCAAGGAGACTTTTGACCCTGGAGAACTGCCAGCCCCCCACAGAGCTGTGAGCCCAGCTCTTCTAGCTGGGTCCCGATGAAGTCCCGACCCTCCCCCGGCCCTGCCCAGCTCTACCCTTTGCCTGCAGTGCCTGGGTGGCCACCACCTGGGAGCCTCACTTGAGGCCCCGCCCAGCAGGACATTAACCATTAAGTCACTGCCATCATTTGGGCTTCCAGCTTTAGAGGGGCAGGTGGAGGGAAGAGGGACCTGCCAGTGCCAGCAGGAACCAGTGCTGAATGGAGCCTCTGAGCATAAACTGGCAGAGGGTGCACCCAATTCCCGCTCACACCCCAGCCTCAAGCCAGGGTCACCCTCTCCTGGGTGCCTGTGCCAGGGCCCCTGTCACACTTCATGGGGCAGAGAGCAAGGACAAAGTCAGGCTGCTCCTTCAAATGAATTAATGATTAATGAGACCCCTGGAGGCCCCGGCTTTTCTTCTGCCCCTTCTCCGGCTTTTCTTCTGACCCCTAGGTGTCACCTACAGGTTTCCTGAGCCCCGAGAGCCAGACCCCACAAATGCAAGGAAGAGAACTGAGACCCTCGGCCAAGTGGCCAGGCCCGGCTTCTAAGTCACCCTGCCCCCTCCAGCTCTTTGGAAAGCAAAACTGGGGACTGTGAGGGCCACCGATGGAGCCTGGGTTTACAGTCAAACCTGTGGCTTCAGTTTCAGTCTTAGAGCAAAAATGAGTTTTAGGCCGGGCAAAGTGGCTCATGCCTGTAATCCCAGCACCTTGAGAGGTCGAGGCGGGCAGATCACCTGAGGTCGGGAGTTCGAGACCACCCTGACCAACATGGAGAAACGCCATCTCTGCTAAAAATACAAAATCAGCCAGGTGTGGCAGTGCATGCCTGTAATCCCAGCTACTTGAGAGGCTGAGGCAGAAGAATCACTTGAACCCGGGAAGCGGAGGTTGTGGTGAACCAAGATGGTGCCATTGCACTCCAGCCTGGGCAACAAGAACGAAACTCTGCCTCAAAAAAATAAAAAAAAATAAAAAAAAAATAAAAAAAAAAAAAAATGTGCTTTAGTTTGGAGCGGGAGGAAGAGGCAGGGATTGACAGCCTCTGTCAGGCACAGACGTTGTCCTGGCCTTGGCTGAAGCTGACCTCCTGAAATGCTGAAGTGGCATCTGATACTCCACCATCCCTGTGGGGGCGTCTGTCACCTGGCGTCGGCCCAGCCCTGTCCTCAGCCCCCAGGAGCTCAGGGCTCAGAACATTTCCCGAAGCCCTGAGCTCAGCCCTGCCAGCAGGCCCAGGAGGATGACACCAAGGACCCATCTCCCAAGGGATAATCCCCAACCTATGACCCTTCCTGCCAAGGCCAAAGTAAATAAGTGAAGACTTGGCCTGCCACACCCTCAGGACCACCACTGGAGGTGACTGACTGCCCCGGTCGCAGCCAGCCACCTGCAGGGCTGAAGAACTGAGCCCATGTACCTGTCACAAAACAAACAGGCAAAAAACACATAAGTCTCTCAGAGACAGGCTGGCCTTGGCATGGACCGCAATTCTCACCTGGCCTTAAAAGCCATCTTGACCTAGAGGCATCTCTGACCCAAACCTTAACCGCCCCCATCTCACTCTACACCCCCCTAGCACTGATGCGCACCTGGACCCCAGCCCCAGTTCCATATCAAATCTGTGTGGTGTCTGCTAAGAGCTCTAGCACCCGGCAAGTCCCCCATCACCCACCTTCCCACACGCAGAAGCCTCTTTGGTGGGACCTAATGGGAGGGAGTCTTGCCTTTCCAGAGGCAAGAAGGACTGGCCCCATGCCCCCCAGGCTCTGAGAGGTGAGCGCAGGAGGGAGAATCGATGGAGCTGGGTCCCATCATCAGAACAACACTCAGGAGGGGACCTCCTTCACCCTGGGAAGGGGTAGGTTCTTGGCTGTCTCACAGTCACAGACGGAATCGTTCACTCAGCCTGGCTCACGGTACAGGCATGCTCATTGCTGGCTTCAGGGCGGCCAGAAACCAACCTGCTTCTGCAAAAAGAATCCAGGCTGTTCTGAGCGCCTGCTGCAGGCCAGGCAAGTTGGTCACTGTTGCATGAGGAGGGCTTGGGCCTGATGCCAAGTGAGGTGGCCTGTCCCTGTTACATACAGACGTCCTGGCCATCCCAGTTGCACATGCGTGTGAGAGGCTGGGTGCTGCCAGGGTTCCTGTGGGGCTGGACCATGCCACCTCTGCCTGTTTCCTTCCTCTTGTGAATATACGGGGCCAGTTCCCACCCCAAAGCCCCACCCAGGGCTTTCATGTTTCCTCCCCAACAGGCCTACTTCCTGGCTCCTTTTGACCTCATCAAAGTCCGGCTACAAAACCAGACAGAGCCAAGGGCCCAGCCGGGGAGCCCCCGACCCCAGTACCAGGGGCCGATGCACTGTGCAGCCTCCATCTTCCAGGAGGAGGGGCCCCGGGGGCTGTTCCGAGGAGCCTGGGCCCTGACACTGAGGGACACCCCCACGTTGGGGATCTACTTCATCACCTATGAAGGGCTCTGCCACCAGTACACACCAGAAGGCCAGAATCCCAGTAAGTAAAGTGGCGTGAGAGGATGGGGGATGGGGTGTGGGTAGCAGGCAGGGTCCGGCGGAGGCAGGGGAAGGAGGTTAGGGTCTGGGGAGGATGCTATGTTCTGGTTCTGACCCCTGCTCTGGGCTCCCTCTGCTCCAGGCTCAGCCACGGTGCTGGTGGCAGGGGGCTTTGCAGGCATTGCCTCCTGGGTGACAGCCACGCCTTTAGATGTGATCAAGTCCCGAATGCAGATGGATGGCCTGAGAGGCAAAGTATACCGGGGGGTGCTGGACTGCATGGTGAGCAGTGTCCGGCAGGAAGGAGTGGGGGTCTTCCTCCGGGGGCTCACCATCAACAGTGCCCGTGCTTTTCCTGTCAATGCTGTCACCTTTCTCAGCTACGAGTATCTCCTCCGATGGTGGGGATGAGTCTTGCGGCAATGCCCACAGCTCCCCATCAGGCCCATGTCCCGGAGGCCAGTTGGAGGTTGGAGGTCAGGTAGAAAGCCTGCAGCTTGCAATTCAGTGCAAGAGGCTCAGCCCTTTCCTGATCAAGGCGCCTCCCACCTGCCCAGATCTGGGCTGGGCAGATGCCCGTGGGAGCTGGAAGCCAGGGGGCCCGGGCAGCGCTCTGTGTAGCTGGCCTTGACTCCTTTGCCTCCCCTATCTGTGAAGCAGGGAGCACGAGGCACAAGTGAGCTGGCAGTGGTGCTGGTGACATCCCAGCCCTGTCCTGTGCCTTCACCCCTTAAGGAGCTCTGAGACTCTGCTTCTGAGAGGCCCTGCTGCCTCCCACCTCCCTGCCTTTCAAAGCTCTCTCCCCCTCGACCCAGAATAACCCTATGTCTCCCCCAAGAATCCTTCAGTGACTCCCATCACCTTCAGGAAAAGCCCAAGCCCCTTCCTCCTTCCCAGTTCCTCCCTCCCCACGAGGCTGGGGTTGCTTCCTAGACCCTGAACAAGCCGTGCTCTCATTGCCTGGGCCTGGCCAGCAGTGCACAGCGGCCAGCAGGGTGACTCCATCATCCCCCGGGCTGGCCCTGCTCTCCTACGAGACCCAGGCTGAGCTCGGCCTCCTGATTGACTATTCCTTGACTCGCTTCCTGACCTGAGGCTGACTTTGGGGTTCTAGACACCCCACCCCACACGTGCCGTGATCACAGCACTTGCCTGCACTTCTTCAGAGTCATTGATTTGCATCTCGGCTTCCCCACTGGACTGTGAGCTCCATGAGGTCAGGGATTGTGCTTTGGATGGTTTCTAGCCGGAGCCCAGTGCTTGAACATACGTGTGCAATAAATACTGGTTAAGTGACGTGGCCTGTCTCTCCCACGCCAGCCGCCACACCTGCTTCCTTGGTCTTGCCACATACCTTTCTGCTGAACCTCCCAGCCCCCATGTGCCTGCTCTGACCTGTCTTGAAGTCACCGGCAGTGGAGGGTGCTGGAAGCTGGGGGTCTGCTTTGCCCACTCCCAGCCAATGGCGCTTGTTTTCTTTTTCTTTCTTTCTTTTTTTCTTTTTTTAGAGACAGAGTTTCACTCTGTCGCCTAGGCTGGAGTGCAATGGTGCTACCATAGCTCACTGTACCTTGAATTCCTGGGCTCAAGCGATCATCCCACCCTAGTCTTCCAAGTAGCTGGGACTACAGGTGTGCACCACTGCGCCTGGGTAATTTTTTATTTTTTTGTAGAGAGGAGGTCTCACTATGTTGCCCAGGCTGTTTTGAACTCCTGAGCTCAGAATCCTCCCACCCTGGCCTCCCAAAGAGCTGGGGTTACAGGTGTGAGCTGGGGTTACAGGTGTGAGCTGGGGTCACAGGTGTTTTCTTTACCCCTCTCAGTTGCTCAGTGGGAATTAAAACCTGGCTGAGGCTCGGTGTGGTGGCTCACGCCTGTAATCCCAGCTCTTTGGGAGGCCGAGGTGGGTGGATCATAAGGTCAGGAGTTCAAGACCAGCCTGGCCAACATAGTGAAACCCTGTCTCTACTAAAAATATAAAAATTAGCCAGGCGTGGTGGTGGGTGCCAGTAGTCCCAGCTACTTGGGAGGCTGAGGCAGGAGAATCGCTGGAACCTGGAGGTGGAGGACGCAGTGAGCCGAGATTGGGCCACTGCACTCCAGCCTGGGCGACACAGTGAGACTTTGTCTCAGAAACAAAAGCAAAAACCTGGTTGAGAGGGTTCTTTTAACTGACAGCAAAATTGAGCATCACTGGCTATTTGTTCCCACTAATGTCCCTACCTGGTCTGAGATCAACCTGAGTCCACCTCATGGTGACCTGAATTCCTGCCATTTACTGGGGCCTCCCTGTAGAAACAGTCACAGTGTTATGATCACAGTTGCCAGAGAGGCAGCCTCAGCTCAGAGACATTATGTAACCTGACCTAGGTCACACTGCAGGTAAGTCATATGATTTGTTTGGATGCCTCTGAGCTTCCAGCCCCAGTGTCCAGTTACTTAGCTACCCTGCTCCACTGGGGTACATGGCGGCCTTCCATGAGTCACCTATGTTCAAATCCCCCTGCACCACCCTGGGCTAGACCTGCCAGGATGTGCTCCGTCACGTGCTCATCAGAGCTCTCCTTCACTGGGTCACATGCTGCAGATGGCTGGAGGCCACTCCAAAGCCTTCTCCCCATTCCCCGTCATCAGTGTGCAGCTGGGTGTGCGGCTGCTGCACAGGACTGCATTTCCCCGCCTCCTTTGCAGCCAGGCAGAGTCTAACCCTGGTTAGGTTCTCACTGGAGAAACATCACCAACTGATATGTGTTGCCTATCACTTGCTTCAAAGGAAAATCCTCACTGTGGGCTGGAAGTGGTGGCATCTGGGGCACCCTGGAAGGCACTGAGAGGATGCAGGAGGTGCCCTGTTGGCCTGGCACCTAGGTGACCTTGGGGAGCACAGCCCACCCCTCCGCCCTGGGCTGTTATGTTGTGTTGCACTCCTTGTCACAATGGTTTATTATTTATTTATTTATTTATTATTATTATTTTTTGAGATGGAGTCTCTCATTCTGTCGCCAGGCTGGAGTGCAGTGGTGCGACCTCAGCTCACTGCAACCTCCGCCTCCTGGGTTCAAACAATTCTCCTGCCTCAGTCTCCCAAGTAGCTGGGACTACAGGTGAGCATCACCATGCCTGGCTAATTTTTGTATTTTTAGTAGAGACAGGGTTTCACCATGTTGGCCAGGCTGCTCTCCATCTCCTGACCTCGTGATCTGCCTGCCTCAGCCTCCCAAAGTGCTGGGATTACAGGCCTGAGCCACTGTGCCTATTTATTTTTTGGAGACAGGGTCTCACTCTGTCTCCCAGGCTGGAGTGCAGTGATGCAATCTCAGCTCACTGCAACCTTTGTCCCCCGGGTTCAAGCAATTCCCTCCTCAGCCTCCCATGTAGCTGGGATTACAGGTGCATGCCACCATGCCTGGCTAACTTTTGTATTTTTAGTAGAGACAGGGTTCACCAGTTGGCCAGGGTGATCTTGAACTCCTGACCTTGTGATCCACCCACCTCGGCCTCCCAAAGAGCTGGGCTTACAGGCGTGAGCCACTGTGCCTGGCTTTTGTTGCAACAGTTTAGCAAGCTTCACACTAACTCAGTGGGTAAGGGGTGCAAGCTTACAGGTCAGTGGTAATCCAAGTGTGGCCTGTGGGGCAAAGCTTATTAGAAATGCAGCATCTGGCTGGGTGCAGTGGCTCACACCTGTAATCCCAGCACTTTGGGAGGCTGAGGCAGGAGGACCACTTGAGGCTAAGAGTTCAAGACCAACCTATGCAACATAGTGAGACCTTGTATCTACCAAAATTTAAAAATTGGCCAGGTGTGGTGGTGTGTGCCTGTAGTCAGAGCTACTTGAGACTAAGGTGGGAGGATTGTTAGAACCTGGGAGGTTGAGGTTGCAGTGAATCTTTTTTTTTTTTTTTTTTTTTTTTTTGAGACGGAGTTTCGCCCTTGTTACCCGGGCTGGAGTGCAATGGCGCGATCTCGGCTCACCGCAACCTCCGCCTCCTGGGGTCAGGCAATTCTCCTGCCTCAGCCTCCTGAGTAGCTGGGATTACAGGCACGTGCCACCATGCCCAGTTAATTTTTTTGCACTTTTAGTAGAGACGGGGTTTCACCATGTTGACCAGGATGGTCTCGATCTCTCAACCTTGTGATCCACCCGCCTCGGCCTCCCAAAGTGCTGGGATTACAGGCTTGAGCCACCGCGCCCGGCCTTGCAGTGAATCTTGACTGCACCACTGCACTCCAGCCTGGGCGACAGAGCAAGACTTCGTCTAAAGTAATAATAATAATAGTAATTTAAAAAAAGATAGCAGGTCCCACCCTGACCTGCCAAATCAGAATTTCTGAGGATGGGGTCCCGGAATCTGTGTTGTGAAAAGCTTTCCAAGGGATTTGTTGTGAAAAGCTCTCCAAGAGATTTCTACACGTGCTCAAGTTTAAGAATCAGTGTTCTGCCATCCTGGTCAACATGGTGAAACCCCGTCTCTACTAAAAATACAAAAAATTAACTGGGCATGGTGGCGCATGCCTTTAATCCCAGCTATTCAGGAGGCCGAGGCAGGAGAATTGCCTGAACCCAGGAGGCGGAGGTTGCGGTGAGCCGAGATCGCGCCATTGCACTCCAGTCTGGGTAACAAGAGCGAAACTCCGTCTCAAAAAAAAAAAAAGAATCAGTGTTCTGGGTGCAGCTGATAGTGGGAATGTGCTGCCCTTTCAGGCTAAGAAAAGTGTATGGTGCCTCACCTGAGGTCAGGAGTTTGAAAGCAGCCTGGCCAGCATGGTGAAACCCTGTCTTTACTAAAAATGCAAAAATTAGTCGTGCGTGGTGGTGTACACCTGTAATTCCAGCTACTAAGGAGGCCGAGGTAGGAGAATAGCTTGAACCTGGGTGGCAGAGGTTGCGGTGAGCCAAGATCACGCCACTGCACTGTAGCCTGGGTGACAGAGCGAGACTCTGTCTCAAACAAAACAAAACAAAATCTGGATGTTTTTAATCAGCAGGGTCTCATAGGATGCATGTGAAGTTGCTTAAGGATTTAACAGATGGTATTTGAGGTTGCTGTTATTTTTGAGAACTCTTTTAGACAGAAGAAATCCCTAAGAACTAGGAGATAGTCTGTGAACCTGCTTTGAGGTTACAAAGCGGACGGTGTCTGACGGTCACTTGCGAAGAGCTGAGAACTCGAGCAAACATGTTAAACAAGTCCCATTGGACTCTCGTTGTCCAGCCGTCATGCTGCTTTTTATAGCACTGACCACATCTGAAGGAATTCCAGGAGACTAACTTATGTGTATAGTGACACTCCCTGTGGCTTTCCCTGCTGCACTCCAGCCTGGAGAAAGCTACATGAGCGGGGAAAGGGGGAAATGACCCAACATGAGATGACTCTGGCTAAAATAACTTGCACCAGACTCAGGAAACAGCTGAACCAAGGGGGTTCACGCTGTGAATGTGACTTAATTGGTGTCTCCAGCCTGCTCAGGCTCCCGAGTGCCAGGCTCACACTGCTGTCTCTGGTCACGGATCTTCCAGTTCCCCCAGCCTGCCCAGGTAACAGGCATGCCCTCAGCTCCCAGCCCGGGCCAATGCCTGAGAGAAGCTCTCCCTCTTCCTCCTTCCCATGCCAAAGGAGTCCCTAACTCCTCTTAACCTTTTGGAAGGTTTCTACTCCTCCTCCTTTTTTTTAGAGATGTGGCCTCATGCTGGGCGAGGTGGCTCATACCTGTAATCCCGGCCCTTTGGGAGGCTGAGGCGGGTGTATTACTGGAGGATAGGAGTTTGAGACCAGCCTGGGCAACAGGGAGAAACCCCGTCTTAACTAAAAACAAAACAAAATTAGCTGGGCATGGTGGTTCATGCCTGGCATCCCAGCTACTCTGGAGGCTAAGGCAGGAGAATCGCTTGAACATGGACACAGAGGTTGCAGTGAGCCGAGATCGCGCCACTGCATTCCAGCCTGGGCAACAAGAGCAAAACTCTGTCTTAAAGGAAAAAAAAAAAAAAAAAAAAAAGAGATGGGGTCTCACTATGCTACCCAGGCTGGTCTTGAATTCCTGGGCTCAAGTGATCCTCCTGTCTCAGCCTCCCAAAGTGCTGGGGTTACAGGTGTGAGCCACCATGTCTGGCTTCCGCTCCCTCCTTACCAATCCTAATAGCACAGCCCTGGTCCTGTCTCAGATCTGAACATATATTTTAACTTCTGGCGGTACAGTTCTCCCCAAGTCTCCCTGCTCCTCAATGGCTTCCCATTCCTCTGCAGAACCAGGGCAAGCTCCCTCCCACAGCCTGCATGGCTTGCAAGTGTTCA